TACCCAGCACTGGGTTGTATTTAACCCAGCATTTATTAGAGTGTAGAATAACAAATTAAATAGGTTTATCAACTATTATAAAGAGGAGAAAACAACTATATTTTTGTTGGCTTCAAAAGGGTGTGTACAATCAGACAATATTGTAGTGTGAATTCTCTAGGTAGAAGCTAGTCGGATCACATGCCAATCAATGTTCATCATCAAAAACCATGAACAATAAACATTCTACACAAAGAGAAACATTTACTATTGTAAACATTACTAAGATATCAAGAACATTTTTGTTACTTTGTGTGATAATTCTGGTAATGTGATAATTCAGGTACTGTAAGATCCAGAAACAAAATTCTAATGAAAATCTACTTTTTAAAAATGTCCTAAATGATTAATTGGCTCTTCACTGAATTTAGCTAGCTCATCACTAGACCATGCTGAACAAAATGTATTAAAGCTTTTTGATAGACCATTCTCATGTAATGATTCATTCAATTTGATGCCAAGCACACCAAAAGTGGAAAAGTGGACGTGAGGCTTTATCTCTGCAATGCTTTAACCAACTGAAACAAAACTGAGCCAGTACGAACCATCACACTCAGTGTACCTGGACAGCTGTGGCACGGTGCCACCTACTGGTCAAGAAATATAAAAATGGCTTATAGACATTGCAGCCTTCTTCAGTTCAAAAACACCAGAGGAGATGCAGTGGTCAGAGTGGAAGTGGCTGTGCTCTGACCGCTCTCTGATCCCAGTAGCCCCTCACTGCAGAACACAAGATCCAGGGGGCGTGGTTGGATCCACATCTAGGGGTGGAGATGGGTGGGTTTAGGTATATGTAATGTGGGAGGAGTTGGATCTGGATCCAACCACGCCCCCTGGATCTTGTGTTCTCCTCTGATCTGAGTGTGACCTGAGTAGTGTTTGCCATTGTCATGCTGTTTGTTGCTTCATACCATGATAAGCGGATTTTGTTACATCATAAAACGTTTTAAAGAGTTTGAAATTTTGCCTTTTCATGCACCTTTGTTTGTGCACAATTAAGTATGCATGCGACATTCATAAAACACTCTGGAAACTCATATAGTTGGTCCACATTTAATGGATTTTTCCCCCCAAGATTATTAAATTGGATAGTTTTACAATCATTATATTATATGGTTTCTAAACATTTTTGCACAAGTACACATTATACATACAAGTATTTAATATCACAGTAAGCCATTAAACCACATTGAAAACCCTAACTAGATATTTTCAGATTTGTTTTTATGCCATGTTTTGTTTTGTTTTTTTAAATCAAGGAATTTTTAATTGTAAAATCGCAATCTAGAACTTTTAAGACAGCTCCAATAATTACAGTAACTAAAGCTGTATTCCCTGGACTGAAATTATTAATGAACATATTAAAATTAAAGTTTTACTTTCAAGCATATGGTCATATAAGGATACAGAAACATAATGGTTTAAATGTTTATCCTATTAAGGCTGAGCAAATTTTTCAGAAATTGTCCCAAATTAAAAAAGAAAAATGCTCTCATTTAAGGTCAAATTCTCAGGTCAAAAAATATCAGGCAAGCTTGTAGTGTATCATGCTTCTTTAAAAAAATAAAGCTGAATTCAAAATCGCCCACTTGAACAACAAGTATATACACTGAAGTGTGCATTAAGCCAGTATGCCAGTATTTGGACAGATTATCAAATCATACAACTGCATCTTTATACCACAGGAACCTCTGTTGCAGTCAAACACATCTGCATATTTGCTACCAAAATCACAAAATACATTTCTCAGAAATAGTGTGCCATTCACATGTTTGAAATTATATTTTCCAGATACCATGATTTGAGATTTAAATTTAAACCTAAGGTTTAGATTTAAGCCTAATTTGGAATACTATATTGGAGAGATAGATGTGTCATTTTGCACTCAAGGGGATATCAATCAAGGTCAATGCAATTTATTGCCCCTTTATGCCACAACTAGACTAAGTTGTAACTTACATACAGCTGGTGCAACCGGCCCCAGGAGCAGGGTTGGCTAGCCATGCATTCGATTTTTTGACAACTTATGTGTCCTCTACACACACAGTAACACAAATGGTGCAGCAGATTGGAGGGTTGATTGGCAGGTGGCTGTTGTGCTACAGATACATGCCATTGATGAGGTAATCAGACTCTTCTGTGGTGAGAGGCAAAGCTTTCTTCAGTCTGCGTCGTACAAGCCAGAGCCTGCAGCCCACCATCAGTAAGAGCAGAACGCTGATGATCAGACCCAAAGCCAGGGGTAAGATCGCACCTACACACATTCACAGAGTGACACTTGAAGTACTTGAGAAAACACACACAGACACAAAATTACAATGACATTTGTTTAGTGCTGTATATCCGGGTACTCACTCGGACAATAAAACAGACCTGATTCAGGGGGTGGGTGTCCTTCCAGTACACGATGTATTTTAGACGATGGCAGTGAACTCTGAGACTCCGTGAGAGGATTTAGCAGTTTTTCCTTATGGACAGAAGCAATGGGAGCTGCACAAAAAAATTCAGTTATTTTTTATATTACATGCTGCAGCCATTTAATTTGATCAGTTAACACAAGGACATTAAATGTCATAGTCCATGGCCATGTTTCACTTTAGACATCTCCCGATGCCAATTTGGTAGACACCGCCTAACCCTATTCCATTCACATGTCTGAAACATTATTTTCCAGATACCATGATTTGAGATTCACTAAACCTAATTTGGCATACTATATAGGAGAGGTAGTTGTGTTATTTTGCACTCAAGGGGATATTAATGGCAAGAACACTTACCATCAATCAATAGATTAGTAATAGTCAACCCTGCTCTTGGAGATCTACAGTACCTTCCTACAGAGGTAAGCTTTCAAGTAATTCTGAGCACCTTGGTTAGACTCTTTAATGTCCTTGTATTCTGCTTTAAAGAGCTCAAGCATTTAAAGTGACAATATACATGCAGAGTGCACTTACAATAAACAGAACATTATTGTGCGTTAGTGTGGACACTAATATAATTATATTTATAGTTATCGTTTTTGGTTTGAACAGGGCTTAACTCACTTAAGTCACACAACAGACAATGGGGCATGAAACACAAATGCATTATAATATATATATATATATATACACACACATACATACATACATACATACACACACACACACACACACATTTTTTTATTTTATTTTTTTCTAATGGTAATAACAGCATAGAGCAAGGGTGTACAAATCTGTTCCTGGAGGACCGCTGCTCCAACCCTGATTAAACACACATGAACCAGCTAATCAAGGCCTTCAAACTCACTGGCTGCGTCCAAAACCTGAAAAATGCTGCCTTCAGAGGACGCATTCCAAGGTAGGAAGGCATCAAGGCACATCCGAATCCAATGTCAACTTCACTTCCTGTCTCTTGAGATCCCTTCATCTGGCTGATCTTTGAAGGCAGCATAGACGTATCCTTCGCTGCCTTTGATATCCCACAATCCTGTGCATTCCATTCTTTGACAGATAAGTTAAAAAATAAAGATGGCGTCTGAAAGTTGTGGTCAGTGGTCAGTTTATGTGTAAATGTACATTTTTGACCAACGTTTTCCACTTTTGATCTCATTTCTAGCGAGTAATTACTGTTGCAGTTATTAAATATTCACTTGTTTATCAAAAAAAATCTCTCTGTATTTTGCTGTAGATCATTAAACTGTTACGTTGCCTCAGAAGTCTGTCCAAAATCAGTTTTGTGAGATTCCATTTCGTTCACAAAGGCTGCCTGCAAAGTCAATGCCTGACAGGGCAGCGAGGCAACAAGTCAGCTGCCTAATTTTTCGAACACAGCCACTAGAAACTTCCAGGCAAGTGTGTTGGAGCTGGTTGGAGCTAAACTCTGCAGGACATTGGCCCTCCAAGAGCAGGACTGGACACCCCTGGTATAGAGAAAACTGAATATTCTATCCTTTACTCAAAACTAATACTGTTGTACATACATATGTATGTTTTCACACTGGTTAATGGAGTTGCAGTGGCCTGATGTTTTGTTACTGCTGAAAGATGACAACAGAATAACTGTTAGCTTCACAGAATTCTCAACTGAATAAATTCAATTTCATTGAATATAATAAAAAATCAGCTAAATCAATCAAGTCTCACTTGGTTTCTGAATGCATTCATTTACACAATCAGACTTCTGGAGGAAGTTGTTGTGGTTTCCTTTGCAGCCGCCATACTGGAAGTGCTGGCAATCTCCTGTTTTAGAATCATAATACCAGCGTGGGAAGACGCCTTTACACGGGCCAACCACTGGGGGCGCTGCACAGGGATCTGAGAGAGAG